CTTATTCAGCTGTCTAGTTTTCAAAGTTGTATTAAGTCTATGTATAAAAATGAGGTGGTCTTTTTAAAATTATTTTTTATTCATTTTACATACCAACCACAGATTCCCCTTTCTTCCCTCCTCCCACTCCCCACTCACCTTCTTCCCTGACCCTTCATCCCCTCCTCCAGCAGGGTAAATTCTCCCATGGTAGGACAGTTAAGGCTGATACATTCTGTTGAGGCAAGACCAAGCCTCTCCCCACTTTATCAATCAAGAGCAAGGTGTCCAACAAGAGGTAATGGGATCCAGAAAGAGAGCTCATGCACCAGGAATAGATCCTGATCACACTGCCAGGGGCCCCTCACACACAACCAGCTCCACAACTGTCCCCCATATGCAGAGGGTCACAACTGTCCCCCATATGCAGAGGGTCACAACGGTTCCCCATATGCAGAGGGTCACAACTGTCCCCTATATGCAGAGGGTCACAACTGTCAGTCTAAATTTCCTGAGTTCCTTTGGGCTTGGTTCAGTTGTTTCTGTAGATTTCCCCAACACAATCTTTACCACCCTTGCTCATGTAATCCCTCTAAAAACAACAAGAAGGAACACAGCTTGGAATTTTAAGGTTTCCTCTATCAAACCTGTGAGAGCATTGTATAACATGGAAAGGAAAATAAAATAATATCAATTAAATTCAGGAATAAGGACAGGTGTATGTGATGATGCATATCTTTAATTCAAGCTCTTTGGGAGCATAGGCAGGAAATCTCTGGCCTCTTGTAGCCATCCTAGTATATGGATCAAGTCAGCCAGAGATGCATATTGTAACCCTGCCTAGAAAGAAATAAACAGAAATTGGACAAGAAAACAATGAGGTAGTTGATGAGAAACTCATCATGAACAATGGTCTGTGTATCTCTACTGTGCGATTATATATGACTTTAATATGCTACTCCTTTTGTTTAAATGGTGTCTCTATACTGTAGGAAAAACCTGAGTTCTTTCTCATTAGAGCACAGTACATAAGGTACTCATACCAACATCTGATACTTGTTAAGGGCAGAAAATAATTCAAGGCCCAGCTATTGTGTGACACTTATTCCTTAGGGGTATATACAGTGACTGCTGCCAAAGATCAGTGTTGACTGTCCAGCACAATTTAGTTTTTGTGATATCACTGA